TTGGGTCTTCGTAGTCATTCCCACAGACGCAAATCCACAGCACAGCTGATCCTTGTTGATGTTGGAATCAGCACAGAGCTGGTGGGAAAGAGACACTCTGTTTTGACAAAACTCGAGGATCTAAAATTAACCTCTGCAAAGAGTAGATCACATATGTGGTGATATGGAAGTCAAAGAAATGTTTAATACCAGTTCTAAAACAAACAAAAAAATTGAAACAGTAAGTTGAACCACACTGCACTTTGGTTTCATGTATGGAAACAAGTAAGTCAAAGCAATTGTTCTTTGCTTCCATTTATCTTTTTCTCCACTTCACGACGGTGATTCAGAATGAGCAGAGCTAGAGGAAGCCTCCAAAGGTTATCTAGTCAATCCACCTGCATCAATACGACCTAGGCACCCTGAAGGCTTTCCAGCCTACTGTTAAAATTTTCTGCAAGGCAGATACTGCTCCATCCTGGATTGAAGTCACTATATTCCCTTGTAATATCTTGAGTCCAACCAAATCACAATACCCCACAGAAAACTTTTTCATCTCTGCTAAACGCCGTGATCTCCATCCCACATCTGAATTATTTACTCACAAGGATTGTCCCCTTGAGGCCATTGGAACTACGTGGTTTACTAAGGTTATACTCACACGCTAGTATTTGAGGAACCAGTGCTTCAAAGGAAGACTCGAAGCTAGCAGGAGAGGTTTGGAAATCAAAAAGAGTGAGTAAGACAGAGAGTTAGCTTTTTTGAGGTGAGGCGTGGGAGGTGTTTTCGTTCTTTAGCTATTAAAAACTCCTTGCTTTGGCAAGGAAAAAAAAAAAGGGGGAGAGAAAACTGGGAGGGGAAGGATTCATGAATAAAGAGGCAGCATGGCAAGAGGTACAGCCACCAGGGTGGCCAGAAGGCACAAGCGAGTTTCTCAGGCTGGCTTCCCTGACGGAGCGGAGACGGCAGCGAGTGCAGGTCAGAGGAGCCAAGGCCTAACACGCGGGTCTAAAGGGAGTAATAAACCCAGCTTTCTTTGCAGCGCTGAGCGGAGGGGTTATGTTACAGTGGGTGCTTTGAAAACAACGGTGCTAGATGTTATAATTGCACGTGTCATCCTTCTGGATGTCCTGGTAATTATCCGGGATTGAGGGCATCTCCTTTTTTCCCACATTTAATGAGGATTTCGCATCCCCTTCCATCCCCTCATGGCATTTTGGAGCTGTGACTTCACAGACGGTCCTGCTGTCCAGCACCGTCCCCGGTGCTCACGCCTCCCGTGCCCTTGCACGCTGCGGTGGGCAGTGCGACAGGGCTGCCCGTGCACCAGGGAGGGGACAGGGCAGCGGGGACACAGGTTTGGGTCCCCGGCCCCGTGCCTTGGAGACCTGGAGGGAGCTGGCGGTGCCCAGAACAGTGGGCAGATGCAGCAACGTGTGTGCCATGGCCGGGGAGCTGCGGGCACCCAGGCTTCCCTACATGTCCTGGGGGAAGGGAGGGCCCCAGTCGGTGGAAACGGAAACAAGAAATATTTTGGAGATTGCCAGCAGAGAACTTGGGCGTCTCCCTCTCTTCTGCTGTTTTTTTGGTTTGGTTTTTGGTTTTTTTTGGTTTTGTTTTGGTTTTTTTTGTGTGTTTTTGGTTTTGTTTTTTTTTTTTTAACTTTTCTCTCTCCTCCTCCTCTCTCCGTACCTCCCTGTTTCCTTGCAGCCAAGTTTCCGCTTGTCTGGGCAACCCCGGTCCCACGCGTGGAGCGGGGACGTGGCTTCCCCAGGGCGGCCCTGGCCGTGGGCAGGAGGGGTCCAGGAGCGGTGACACCACCCTGGGCCAGGGGAGGCCAGAGTGGGACCGAGTCTTAAATCACATGCTATTATTTCCATCAGGCCCACAGTTAAAAAAATAAATAAAATAAACAACTGTCCTTCCTGGCCCCCCATTATTTTTCTCTGAGCAGGCTCAAGCTGCAATTACTCAAAGGTTCATTCTTTAGCCAAATTCGGGGAGGATTGTGTCATAGATGGCAAAAGGCATGTTCCTAACAGAGAAATTGTGATTTATTTTAAAGCAAGACATTGCTCAGAGGGTGTTTTTTAAAAAGAAAAAGACATCAAGTGTTTTCTTTAAATGTGGATAAAACAGAATATTCCCCTGCCAGCCTTACTCTCAGAAACAGCTAAGTGGTTTTGACTGAAATTAAAAACAAAACCAAAAAGAACTCAATAAAACAGCTGAAGCAGACATGAGCTAGAAGATGTTGGCTCCAAGTTTGGCAAAGGCAAATGCAACCAAAGCCAAACCTTGTGATGGGATGTGTCAAGTCACTATTATAATAAAGAGGCAACGCTACTAGCAATGTCTTCTCTGTTCTGCGCACCCATTAACATGCTAATGTCAGCGTTAGTCTTTCCCAGGTAGCCAAGGATTATAATTGCTGAGCTTTACAACTAAGTATTAAGCATCGTGGCTAAACAGCTCGACTGAAGGAGAATTATTTGCCATCACCTGAATAGGGTAAGCATGAGGGAAGGAGAACATTTGGCTAGTGTGTTACCATGGGCAGAGCTTAGAGAAATTAGGTCAGGCGGAATGGAAAGAAAACTTCGGAAATCTCTTCCAAACAGTGAAATGTAGTTGTCTGTGGAACAGTCTCTCATGCGAAGTAAAGGATGCCCATTGCTTAAATCATACACAACCAGACTAGATAATGCACTGGAAAACGTACTGTAGGCAAGAATCTTGCAGGAACTGGGCTGGGCTAGAATGTGAGAAGATCGACTGGATGAGCTAGCAAGATTTTCCCATCTCTGATTTCTACAATTTCTGTTCTTTTTTTTTTTTTTTAATTTGCTATAGTTCTCATGGTTTGCAGTTCCTTCACACAAGTTACA